TGACCTTATAACATGTTGAAGGTGACGTTTATTCTGAATCTAAGAAGTTAAATTGCTCATGTAAGACTTGCTTTTTTACATCTTCGCCACCAAACAACTCGTGTCCCAAAACCAAACAAGTAAAATTGGAAATGGTATAGAATAAATTCTTCACAACTATACATGTCACTTTGAAGTGCATATTTTGTTGAATACTTTAGGTCCCTTGATTCTAAGGTAAAGGTGCTCTGTTTTGATAAAAAAGGAGAGGGAAAAATATTTACATGGTGCTGCCATAAAGTGATAGCGAGACCAAACTCTTTGAAAGCGGCATTCTTAGAAAGGATAAGCCACGAACGGACGTAATCTACATGCCCATATAGTTTTTCAATCATTATGTTTTCAGTTTTTGTTTACACAGGAGCTGTTCTGATCTTTTTAATCATCTTTAGTATAAACCTTGTTAAGTTCTGAGAGCATGGAGCTGGAACTAGGATTCTTGAAATGCATGACATTGGAGTCAATTAGAAGAGATGGAAGAGTGTTACAAGGAATCAATAATTTTATGTAAATGTAACAAACTAAGAGGAACGATCCTATAAGTTTAAGAAGGCAAATGTGTCTATAACATGGGTGCAACAGAAGTGAGGATCTTATGATAGATGGGTGGTCATCTGAAGTAGATAAGATAGAAAATGATTATATAATTCAAAAAGTAGAGATAGTAGGGAATAATGATACATTGGAGGGAAGACGACTTAGGTGGTTGAGCAGATCATGCTGAGACCTAAAGAAACTCCTATTTACAAGAATAACATGATTGGTAGTTAGGAGAAAGGTGGATCTAAATTGATATAGCTTAAGATGACTATAAAGGATTTGATAGCATTAGATCTTTGGACTTCGATGCATCACGAAGTGAGAAATTAACGATAATGTAGTACATGTCTAAAAACTCGTTGATTCGTAGTCAAATACCAAATAATTGATTTTTATCAATGAGTTGTTTATTTTGCAGAATGCCAATTTGGAAAAATGGAATTGGAAATCTCACATTTCAATATACTATGCAAAAAGCCAAAAATCACTGAATAAGGAAAACCAGACATTTTGAACTTTATCTTCTAACAACCACATATTCTAGGAAACAAATTAAACTCCTAATCAAATAAAAATTCCAAGTTAAACAAATTAAATAATTTTTCCCACAATAAAAGAGCCCATTTTGACCGTCTAAACAATAGAAGTTGGCCAAAAAATTACTGGGCTTGTGAGTTTTTCTCATAGGCCAATTTTGCATGGAAAAATTTATTTTCATCCAATTCCCATTGACTTGAACAGGGCCAAATGTCTTCGATTGCATCAATCTTCCATAGATTGAACTGGCTCACGAAGGAGTTGTTTAATTGATCTTAATTTTTGGGAATAAGGCATAGTTTGTTATTGCAATTGTCCATGAGGCCTCTAACCAGAAAAAAAACCAGCATGTCACAAGGACTTGACCATAGGATTCTGGCATTTCATGTATTTTGCTTTATTTACACTTTTTTCCTTGCCTTGTTTTACGACTTTAAACATGTGATTTGAGTTAGAATTGAAAGTGTTAAACTTCTGAAATTTTCAAGTCTCATCTATGAGATTATATGTAACACGAAAACACCTTTGAGTTTAATAAGGCAAATATGCCCATAAGATGAACATAACGGAAGTGAAAATTTTAAAATGGAATCTGTTATCTAAAATAAAAAATGATTACATACATCAGTACGTAGAGGTAGGATCGATTGAATAAGGATTTTAGGGAAAGACGATTTAAATGGTCAGGGTATATCTTGCATAGAACTAAAGAAGCTCCTATTGACAAGAATGATGCGATTCCAGTAGAGCTTGTTAGGAGAGAAATAGACCAAAATTAATATGGCTTAATGTGGTTATGAAGGATTTGATAGCTTTGGATTTTCGCCATTGAAACTACAGAGAGATGAAGAGGAGTCATGTAATTGATCCCAAATTTACGAGGATTAAGACTTGTTTGTTATTGCCCTTGTCTATGAAGCCTCTAACAATTAAGAACATCATAGTAGCAATGAGTTCAATTTGGAAGTGTTAAAGATTCCAAAGTTTTCAACATTGATGTATAATTTTGTCATGTTGGGCCTCCATCAAATCTCTTACTTGAAGTCATGACTTATGGAATACAAAATACTCGCATTAGTGTGGTCAACTTCATGTAGTTGCCGATTTAAGAGACACAAATCATGTTTTATTATTTATTTTTATAATAAAATTTAAATTTGTAGAATAAGCCCTTGTTTGACAACCATTAAAACAACTCTTTTTTCTCAAACTCATTTTCAATCATACATTCTCACGATAAAATATTGTACACGTAAAATCAATTTTTTTCCTACTTTTTAACCACATTCTCCAAAAAATCACCACTCAGCTAAGAATTGAGTTGCTCGTACAGTCTAAACCCTTCAGGAAAACATCGTGTGAAAACTTGCTTGTTTGGCATTGTTTATATTTAATTTATAATTGGTCAAACCTACTTTTTATCCCCGCATTTCGTTAGACCCACAAGTACTACCCACTTATCCATAATTCATTTCTATCTATTTATAATTTAAACCATTTATAAACACATACCAAACAAGCTTTTGCTCGAGTGACAGATGATAGAGTTGTGGTCAATTTCACAAAAAAATCCTTTTTTAATTTTTATGGTTTTGTTGTTGTTATACGATTGCTTTTGTTATGGATATGATGTACTACAAGTTCTTTGTATAGCCATTAGCGATTTAAAATTGTGACCTCAGGATATGAATATTCGTGAAGCACTAATGAGGGCCGAGAGGTCTTTAAAATTAAGCCAGCGGAAGGATTATTACAAGATTTTGGGAATTTCGAAAACTGCGTCAGTGTCGGAGATTAAACGGGCTTATAAGAAGCTAGCGTTGCAGTGGCATCCAGATAAGAACGTTGACAATAGAGCAGAAGCAGAGGCCAAATTCCAGGAAATAGCAGCTGCATATGAGGTTGGTTCTTTAGTAACCCTTCGTCTTTTGTTCTCTCATTCTCCCTGCTTTTTTGGTTCAACCTGTAGACGATCGTGCTCATCTGCATTTCTATGATACTATTGATATGCTATTATACTATGGTACCATATTTTACAGTCGTCATGGCAAGGCATCATACATTTATGCAAGTCACAGCCATGTCCCTAAGAATGAAGAATTATATTGTGAACAATTGACCAGTAGATTCTCTATTAAATTGTTTTGCCTACGTTAATGACAGCCAGGCACATACCTTAGTGAAAGTTAATTTGTAAAATGCTTTTTATGACTCAATCCCTCCGATTTTTCACACTAATGAATGGAGGAGGATTGGCATTTAGAATAAGAGACTCCAATCTAAATGACATTTCATTCAGTTTCTCCAGCTGTGTCCCACAAAAGAATTTGATTCAAGCATAGTAGTTCTACGGAATTAATCTTATGTTTATATGAGTTCACAACTATGCTTGAACTCACTTGGGTGTGTACTGTTTATCATTTGTTGGAGCCAGCCAGTGTAAATAATTTCAGCGAAGCGGATTATTAATCTTTGTTCTGTTCTATATTTTCTCCTTCATTATTTGGATTCCCCCTCTTATAGTCCTTTTTAGCATTACGCGTCTATTAATGGAATGAGAACTTGGACGCTGCAGATTCTTGGTGATGAAGAGAAACGTACCAAATATGACAGTGGCGAAGACATTGACGAGGGTATGGGAATGGGTGGCGGAGGATTTAACCCTTTTGGAGGAGAGGGCCAGCAATATACATTTCACTTTGAAGGAGGATTTCCTGGTGGGGGCTTTGGTGGCTTCCATTTCTGACCTCGTGGAAGTTTGGAAATATGTTTCACTAACAGCTTTTCTGCAAAGACTCCGGAGACTTTAGAACAGCAATTTTGTCTAACCCCTAACAGCTGCAATGCATGCACATTTATAGGCAATTTTTACGGGCTGTCTGATTATGAAAAGGGTCTTATGAGGAAGTTTAGCTCTGTGGGGATCAATATTCTGAAATTTTAAAGATCATAGTCGATTGAAAGAAAATGACAACCCCTTATTTGAATTGTAACATGTGCATAGAATTTTT